AATTAATCCTTCCCACAAGACGAGCCAAGTTACAACGCCAAGACTCCGACTCTCTCTCTCTTCCCCTTTCTCTTCTTCCCCTGCTCCTCGCTCCGCTCCCCTCGGAGTCGCGGTTGCCATGGCGACGCGAGCCAAACACGCCGTCGCTTTCCGTAGACTCTGCGACCGTCTTATTTATTCGTTCGGTTATTCCTGTACCTCATTTTTCTTTTTATTCTTTCTTTTCTTTTTATATTTTTTATTTTGCGGTAACCTTTTCTTAAGTTCTTTCGTTATTGAAAGAACTGCGTTGGGAATGAATAAAGATTTTTTTTCTTTTTTTTTATCTTTTTTTTCTTTTTTCTTTTTTCTTATAACAAAGGCAGCGCTTATCCCTTTATCTCCCCTCCTCCTCTCGTAAACCACTTCAAACCTTTCTATCCCTTCGTCAAAAAAGGTTTAAAATGAGACGACACGATCTGGAAATATGGCTAAAATAGTTCATGATGTACGTTTTACATTACATGTATAATCTACGTGGTTGCGTAGTTAAGTTTTGATAGTTTTATTCATATCAAAAACATCTGTTATTTTTTTTCCCCCTATTTCTCTTCTTTCCGAATAGACTTTCTAATCCTTTTAATGCTCTATGTAGTATAAAAATCTGAACTGCTGTGGTGGTATTTGTGTGAGTGTGTTGAGGCATGTCAGATTGGATTTATTGATTTGAACCGGCAAGTGCGTTCTCAGCGGCGCTGGCTTATTTCCGTGGGTTGCTTTTACGTCATTCGTTCCCTTTTTGCTTTTTGTTTTTGTTGTTTTTTTCCGTATGGTATTTATGTTGTGTGTTTATTGCATGTTCGAATAATCTGTGGTATGGTTTGTGTATGTTTTCTCTTTTTTTCTCTGAGGGATGTCAAATGGTTATCTTATGGATTTATGATAATAAATCTTTGGAATGTAATTGCCGGAACTATTTTCCCGCACGGAACACTGACCTCGAAATGACACCTTTATCACTGTCATTGTTGGCCTTGATGTACATACATACATGTATACATACATACATGCACATCTATAACTATACTTGTGTATATGTATATATATGTATGTATATATATATATATATATATATATATATATATATATATATATATATATGTATATATACATATATATACACATACTTATATATGTATATATATGTATATATATATATATATATATATATATATATATATATATATATATATATATATATATATATATATATATACGTATGCCTATATATACACAAATGATGTTTATACATACATACAAATACATATATGTATATATGTATATATATATTTATATATACAATGTGTGTGGGTGTATATATATATATATATATATATATATATATATAGAGAGAGAGAGAGAGAGAGAGAGAGAGAGAGAGAGAGAGAGAGAGACACACATATATATATATACATACATATATATATATATATATATATATATATATATATATGTGTGTGTGTGTGTGTGTGTGTGTGTGTGTGTGTGTGTGTGTGTGTGTGTGTATGTATATATATACTTTTATATACAGACACATATATACACATATATGTGTATCTCTCTCTCTCTTTATATATATATATATATGTGTGTGTGTGTGTGTGTGTGTGTGTGTGTGTGTGTGTGTGTGTGTGTGTGTGTGTGTGTGTGTGTGTGTGTGTATTTATAGATATATATATCTATATATACATGTGTATATATATATATATATATATATATATATATATATATATATATATATTTGGCAGAAGAGTCATCAATACAAATGATTTTTTTTTCAAAGTATATATATATATATATATATATATATATATATATATATATATATATATATATATATAAGGAATCGCATGTTCTAGATATGACTAAGGCACGATAGGACCGGAGCGATAAACATTGAAACAAAAATAAACGAAGACTTGCAGTTTGGAAGAAAGAGACAATGAATATTTGAAAGAGGAAGTCATGGCTAAGTTCTTTATCCTTAACAAATCAAGTTACAAAATTAAAGCTTTATTTCTTACAAGCGTATTAATAAAGCCAAAGATTTATTATCTGTATATCTAATAAGTTAATTAATAATATTGAAGGACAATTACCTTTACGTTTAACAAACCCACCAATAAAGCTAAAGATTAATTCTCTTCACGTTAAACAAATCCATCATTAATACTAAATATTAAAATCATCTTTGTATCAAACAAGGCAATGCAAAAACGGGTATAGAAGGAACATGAACCCAGACGCACAGACTTAGAGACGGGGATAAGAGTATTATCTCAAAGGCTAGGCAGAGGGGAACGATTATTCATTAGGAAAAGGTTAGCCACTGACTAGGGGCCGATGAGAACAGGAGAAATCAAGTGATGTCTCGAGGTGGGTTCAGAGGTTCATCTAGGAGACGAGAGTGAAGCATAGGGAGAGACACTGGGCCTAGGAGAGACTCTGAGGCATAAATAAAGGTATGGATTCAGGCATATGGACTGGTGGAAGGGAGTCTAGAAGTCGAAAACTAGGCATAGATGGGTGCACTTTGGGACATGAAAGTGAGGAGTAAGGCATAAATATCGGTTCAGACACGGGATGAAGCAAATGTTCATCAAGAATCAATGGCATTGGAGATTCAGGAACAGTAAGAGGCAACGGCCCTTAAGTTTCAGGCAGAGGATGATGCGATTCAGGCACAGTTATAGGCAAAGAAAAGGGGGCAGGCACAGATGCATTGTCAAGTGAGGATGCAGGCACGGGGAGAGGCAGAGATTCAAGCAGGAGGAGAAGCGGGATCTGAAAGCGTGAAGTCAGGCATAGCATAAGGAGGGCCATCTGAAGTGTAAGAGGGAGGCACAGGTAAACCTTCGGGTGTGGGCGGGAGGGTAAGCCTAGGCACAGACTGAATCACGGACTCCAGCATAGGCTGAAGAAAACTGTCAGGCTTATCTCGAAGCAGAGGTGCACGCATGATTTCGAATGAAGGGTCTGGCAGAGGCATAGATAAAGATTCAGGCATAGGATCAAACAAAGATTCAGGCATAGAATGGGGCAAGGACTTCGGCATAGGATTAGGCATAGACAAAGAAGCAGGCACAGACTGAGATAAAGATTCACACATGGTTTGAATTATGGCATCAGGTATAGGTGGAAACGAAGATTCAAACTTAGCGCCGATGTGCAAATTCAGGTACAGGTTGCTATAAATATTGAAACATTGACTGGCGTGCTTAGGAGGAGGTGAAGATTCAGGCATAGGCTGAGGAAAAGATTCAGACAAAGACTGAGGAAAAGATTCAGACATAGACTGAGGAAAAGATTCAGACATAGACTGAGGAAAAGATTCAGACATAGACTGAGGAAAAGATTCAGACATAGACTGAGGAAAAGATTCAGACATAGGCTTAGGAAAAGCTTCCGACATAGGCTGAGGAAAATGTTCATAGTAAAGCAGAGGAAAGGATTCAGACATAAGTTGAGGAAAATATTCGGACATAGGCTGAGGAAAATGTTCATGCTTAGGCTGAGAGAAAGATTCAGGTGAAAGCTTAAGTTCAGACATGGGCTGTGGTGAAGATTCCGGCATAGGTTGAAGTGAATAATCTAGAAGTGACATAGATTGAGGAAAAGATTCAGACATAGACTGAGTTGAATGTTCAGACATAGACTGATTTAAATATTCAGACATAGACTGAGGAAAAGATTCAGACATAGACTGAGTTAAATATTCAGATATAGGTTGAGGAAAAGATTCAGACATAAACTGAGGAAAAGATTCAGACATAGCCTGAGGAAAAGATCCAGACATAGACTGAGTTAGATATTCAGACATAGACTGAGGATAAGATTCAGACATAGACTGAGGAAAAGGTTCAAACATGGACTGAGTTAGATATTCAGACATAGGCTGAGGAAAAGATCCAGACATAGACTGAGTTAGATATTCAGACATAGACTGAGGATAAGATTCAGACATAGACTGAGTTAGATATTCAGACATAGACTGAGGAAAAGATTCAGACATAGACTGAGGAACATATTCAGACATAGACTGAGTTAAATGTTCAGACATAGACTGAGGGAAATATTCAGACATAGACTGAGGAAAAGATCCAGGCATAGACTGAGTTAGATATTCAGACATAGACTGAGGAAAAGATTCAGACATAGACTGAAGATAAGATTCAGACATAGACTGAGGAAAAGATTCATACATAGACTTAGGAAAAGATTCAGACATAGACTGAGTTAAATATTCAGACATAGGCTGAGGAAAAGATTCAGACATAGACTGAGGAAAAAGTTCAGACATAGACTGAGTTAAATATTCAGACATAGGCTGAGGAAAAGGTTCAGACATTGACTGAGTTAGATATTCAGACATAAACTGAGTTAAATATTCAGACATAGGTTGAGGGAAAAAATCAGACATAGACTGAGTTAAATATTCAGACATAGGTTGAGGGAAAAAATCAGACATAGACTGAGTTAAATATTCTGACATAGGCTGAGGAAAAGATCCAGGCATAGACTGAGTTAGATATTCAGACATAGACTGAGGAAAAGATTCAGACATAGACTGAAGAGAAGATTCAGACATAGACTGAGGAAAAGATTCATACATAGACTTAGGAAAAGATTCAGACATAGACTGAGTTAAATATTCAGACACTGGCTGAGGAAAAGGTTCAGACATAGACTGAGGAAAAGATTCTGACATAGACCTATTTAAATATTCAGACATAGACTGAGGAAAAGATTCATACATAGACTGAGGAAAAGATTCATACATAGACTGAGGAAAAGATTCAGACATAGGTGAAAGCGAAAGCTCAGACATGGGCTGAAGTGAAGATTCCGGTAAAAGTTGAAGTGAATAATCAGGAACAGACATAGACTGAGGAAGATATTGAGGCATACGTGGAAGCAAAGAGTGAGGTGAAAAAACATTAAGAAACGACGTGCTGGACAGTCTAGCCTCAGGCCCAGATAAAGATTCAAGAACTGGCTGAAATTCAGACATCAGGGCAGCGGGAGAGTCACTCCCAGACATAGCTGTTGTTTCAGGCACAGGAGCCGAAAATAATTCAGACGCGGGGGAGAGAGAGGAGGCGCCTGGCAAGGATGGAGGGGAAGAGACGAGCATCGACGAAGCATCAGCGAAAGAGACAAAATCAGACACGCGAGGAGGCGAGGCGCCGAACCCGGATTCAGAATCGGGGGAAGACGAAGAAAACCCGAGGATCTCAGAAGATGGAGAAACGGGCGGGGAAGAGGGAAAAGGAGAAGGAAGAAGAACGGACGAAGACTGGTCAGAAGAGAGGGAAAGATCAGATGAAGAGGAAGGGTTAGGGGAGAAAGGAAGGGAAGGCAAGGAGGAGGAAAAGGGAAACGTAAGGTATGGGTAAGACAAAGAGGAGGAGGAAGAACAGAAGAAGGAGGAAGAGAAGGAAAAGGGAGACGTAAGGAATGGGTGAGACAAGGAGGAGGAGGAGGAGGAGGAAGAAGAAGGAGGCGTAAGGAAGGGGCGATGATACTCGGGCTGGGAAGAAGGCAAGGGCATAGGCTGCGGGTGGAGTGGGAGCGGCTTTGCCTCCCTCCAGGCTTCGAGGTTCAGACGTGGGTATCTGGAGCACGACACCTTGGGGTTTCTGCGAGGAGGACATCGGGCTTCGTCATTATTTTGTTATTTTAATCTATGATGCTGATGATCAATTAAAACAAGAATAACGACCATGGATCTATTAATATGTAAATAAGAATCAACTTGAAAATTAATTAAGTGACGTACAGACTCGATTGCAATGCTACTAACCTGAAACTGTCTCGTAGAAAGAAAGGATTAATTTGCACGTCTTGGAAGTCGGCGAAATGGCACAGGATGGAAGCCAGACTCAGGCGACGGATGGACGTTAGCTGAGCTGTCGAGTTAAAGGGGGAAATTGTCAGAAGCGAGAGAGGGGGGGAAAAGGGGTCCCTTTCTCTTTCGTTCTTCTGCTTCTTCTATATCTTCATTTATTTCCTCTTTCCCCTCTCTCTCTCTCTCTCTCTCTCTCTCTCTCTCTCTCTCTCTCTCTCTCTCTCTCTCTCTCTCTCTCTCTCTCTCTCTCTCTCTCTCTCTCTCTCCCTCTCTCTCTTCCTCCTCCTACTCCTCCTTCCTTCCTTTATTTCCTCTTCCCTCCCTCCCTCCTCCTCCTTCTCTTCTTCCTCCACTTTACTATTCCCTCCCTCTCTCCCTCTCCTCCTCATTCCCACCCTTTCCCCTTCCCTCTCTCTGCCTCCCTCCTTCCCTCCTTCTCCTCCTCATTCCCGCCCCCTCTCTCTCTCTCTCTCTCTCTCTCTCTCTCTCTCTCTCTCTCTCTCTCTCTCTCTCTCTCTCTCTCTCTCTCTTCTCTCTCTCTCCCTCCCTCCCTCCCTCCCCAGACTCACCCTGAGCGAAGGGCAGGACCAACACATCGCTCTCGTACCAAAACCTGTCACCGGCGCGCGTGTGGAGGAACTGCCCGCCGATGACGCAGGCGAAGGTAGGCCCCACAAGACCTCGGGGCAGCCTGTACTCCGCCAGGCCTGCGGGGAACAGGTCGATGTCCTCGACTTTCCTGCGAGGAAGACAGGGGTCGGATTTTCGCTTGGTTTTGAGGGGGGGGGGAGATTGGATTTTGGGCCGGCTTGTTTGTTTGTCTGTTTGGCTCTAGCTCTGTCTCTCTATCTATCCATCTGTCTATCCATCTATCTGTCTATCCATCTATCTATATATTTCTATCCATTTATCTATCTATCTGTATATATACATGTGTCTATTTATCTATCTGCCTATCTATCGAGCTATCTGTTTACCTAGTCATTTATCTATCTATAGATATATATCTGCGCGTGCGCGCGCGCGCGCGCGTGTGTATGAATGTATGTATGTATCTATATATGTACATATGTATGTGTATGTGTGTGTGTGTGTGTGTGTGTGTGTGTGTGTGTGTGTGAGTGAGTGAGTGTGTGTGTGTGTGTGCGTTTCCAATTTCTCAAATCTTATTGATTTTCCAAGTCACATGAAGATCCGAGTCGCCCTTACTTTCTAATATCAATATCATGACGAGGAAAATGACTATTATAATTAGCGAAATAGCTATTTCCTGATTAGGTGCCAGATGTATAATGTAGAAACAACATAAATCTTGAATGCGATCTTTGAATAGAGCGAGATTACTGTTTGAAAAAGAATAAAATAATTATCTGACTGATTCAAAATTCGGTGTTAGTCATCACAATCTGACTGAAAGAAAACGGTACGTGCCTCTCCAACAGAAAACGAGGGTCAGAAATTGTAAATATTTATTCTTTTCTTCTTCTTTGGTTCCTCCTCTTCCTCTTATTCCTTTTTTTTTCTTTTTTCTTTCCTCTAATCTCGCCATCCTACTATTTTTCCCTCCTCTTCCTCTTAATTCGTTTCTTATCTGTTATGTGTTACCAAGCCAT